ATGTTGGAGAACAAAAGGATTTTCCCTGTAACACAGGATCAGGTCTGTCCCAAATGGTTTCTAATCCCACCCATAGTGCTGGACACACTTTAGATCCTGCCTTCTGTTTGGTGACAGTATTGTGGAGGAACTTGTAGCTCAGCAGCAGTCACAACAGACAGGAACTGATGGGTTCAGTGATGACTTAGAGTCAGATGGGATTGTGGGCTTTCCTGGGATTCATTCTGATGCAGGCTCTGGGATTCCTTCTCATGCAGGCCGGGAAAGCAAACTGTTTTGAATAAAGAGGCCAGCACAGATGCAGGCCTGAGAATATAATTGCCTCTGGAACTCAAGGTCAGGGAAAGGAGTTGGAATCATCCTCTCCAGATAAGGAATCTAGCAAAGATGAAGTGATGAGAAATTCGCATGAGAATGCATCTAATCTTTCTGCAGATTCGAACAGATAGCCAGCTTCATAGATCATCAAGACTTCGGGGGGAGCAGAAATTCCAGGGTAGATGTAATGCTTTCATGTCTGTTTATTAGCACTAATGGGAATTTTGCTCTTCAGTTCAGGCAACATGGCGTTCAAGTTAACAGCTAGACCTGTCTCTCTCATTTCACGTCTTGGTTTTGGATCTACGTATCTCATGGTCTTGTTTAAGGAACTGCTTCAAGTTTTGCTAATGGTTTTGGATCTAAGTATTTCATTCTCATGTTTTGCCTCTCTGCTCATGTTTTGCTTATGGACTTAAGCGGCCTTGGTGTTCTGGGACTATCATTGGCCTATTTTACCCTTGAATTCGCAAGACAACTGATTACCAACTATTTGAATTATACACCTGATTTCCTTATTTCTGGATTTTTCATATATATATATATATATATAGTGTGTGTGTTTTTACAATAAACCATTTCCTACTATCTTGGACTCTTGTGTTATGCTGTGGTCATAGGTGGCTTCAGGTCTGGGGTGCGACAGAACTGTCTACAGTTCCTTTGTCACGGACCAATCACTGGCAAAGTCAAGTTTAGACTTACTGGGGCTCTGAACTTCTACAGGGGTGGAGGACCGATTAGGATGGTCCGCCCCAGGAGGTTTATGGATCCAAATGGATTCCTGACAGCTCTTGGGGATTTTATTGCCACCTTGGTAGGTGAATCTGTTGAAGCTCTAGCAGACCTCTGGAATTCGGGGGTTGCCAGGGCAGTTGACACAATTGCTCCCAAACGTCTCCACTCACAAAGCAGAGCCAAATCAGCCCCCTGGTTTTCCAGGGGACTGGCAGTGATGAAGCAAGTGAAATGAGAGACTAGATCAGTGTTGGCTAAAGCGTATTTGAGATCCTACTCCATGGCAATGAAAGTGGTACAAATATCTTTCATTGCTGTCAATGTTGCATCTGCAAAAAACAAAAAAACAAAAAACGCCCAAGAGAGTTATTTTGAGTGGTCAGAGGACTTTTAAACCCTGCTCAGCCAGGGATCCCTGATAAATCAACAGCTCATTGTGAAGAAATTGCTAGGTTCTTTGCAGATAAAGTCGCTCAGGTGTGTTCCGACTTAGACGACAGTATTAATGCAGTCTCTATGGATGTAAAAGAGACACCTGTCTGTCCTATTTTAATGGATTCTTTTCAATTTGTATAGCCTGATGACGTGGACAAGATCTTGGGAGAAAGGAAGGTGTTCTCTGGAGAGAGTGCCCATCCTGGATAATCAAAGAGGCCAGAGGGGGACTGGTAGAGTGGGTGAAAGTGCTGGTGAATACCTCCTTGGCATAAAGCATAATGCCAGTTAGTTTCAGGGAGGCAGTAGTAAAGCCTTTATTAAAGAAACTGGCACTGGACTCAATTGGACAACTATTGACCAGTTTCAAATCTCCCCTTTCTGGGCAAGGTTCTAGAGAAAGTGGTGACCTCTCAGCTCCAAAGTTTCTTGGATGAAACCGATTATATGGATCCATTTCAATCTGGTTTCAGGACTTTGCTACAGAACAGAGATGGCATTGGTCATCTTGGTAGATAATATATGAAGAGAGCAAGACAGGAGGAGTGTGTCCCTGTTGGTTCTCCTGGACCTCTCAGTGGCGTTTGTTACCATCGATCATGGTATCCTTCTGGGCTGTCTCCCCGGGATGGTGCTAGGAGGCACTGTTTTACAGTAGCTCCGGTTCTTTCTGGAGGGTCGGACCCAGAAGGTGGTGCTGGGGGACTCCTGTTTGTCCCTCGGAGTTCCAGCCTGTCCCCCATGCCGTTTAACATCTACATGAAACCACTGAATGAGGTTTTGGAGTTTGGTGTTAAATATATGCAGACGACACCCAACTCTATTATCCTTTCCACCAAAAGCCAAGGATGCTATCCTGGTCCTAAACTGGTGCCTGTCATCATTAATGGACTGGATGAGGGCCAACAAGTTGAAACTAAATCCAGACAAGACAGAGATGCTCCTGGTCAGTCAGAAGGAAGATCAGGGTATAGGGATACTTCCTGTGCTGGTTGGGGTCACACTACCCTGAAGACACAGGTTCGTAGCTTGGGGGTGATCCTGGATTTATTGCTGACCCTGAAGGCTCAGGTGTCGGCAGTGGCCAGGGGTGCCTTCCCACAATTAAAACTTATGTGCCATCTGCGTCCGTACCTTGAGAAGCCAGATCTGGCCATGATAGTCCATGTCTTCGTTACATGCCGTTTGGATTACTGCAATGCTCTATACGTGGGGTTGTCTTTGAAGACAGATCAGAAGCTGTAACTGGTCCAGATTACTAACTGAGGTGCCATACAGGGAGATAACCACCCCCATGTTGCAGCAGCTCCACTGGCTGCCGGTCTGCTTCCAAGCTAAATACAAAGTGCTGGTTATTATCTTTAAAGCCCTAAACGGTTCGGACACAGACTATTTGGCAAACCACATCTCCACATACAAACCTGCTTGGGCACTACAATCAGTGGAGGAGGCCCTGCTCTCGGTTCCACCCCCGTCTCAAGCACGATTGGTGGGAACAAGAGAGGGGGCCTTCTCCGTAATCGCCCGTGATCACTCCCTGCCTCTGAAACTCTCTCCACAAAGAGATAAAAATGCCCACCTCCCTACTCTCTTTTAATAAACAATTTAAAACTTTCTTATGCTTTCAAGCATACAGAGAAGAGGAGGCATAGAATATCATGCATAGTCACCATGGAACGGAAATGGCGGGTCACTCTAGCTGCTGGTTGTAAAAAAGATATATATTAACTTTCAACTTTATCTTGTTTTGTTTAGATTCCTGTTTTGTCTCCCTAAGTCTTAGTTGTGAAATCGTATCTTTATTATGTTTACCGTTTAATTTTTGAAAATGTGTTATTATTTTTGATGTAAATGTGGATTTGTTTTTGGGATTTGGTTATTTTTGTCTTTGTTCAGCTTCTTACGGCATTGAATGTGTGCTGATATCTGTTGCAAACCACCCTGAGTCCCCTCTGGGAGATAGGGTGGGATATAAATATTACTACTACTGTTATTATTTATTTATTTATTTATTTCCTGCATTTATACCCCACCCTTCTCCCCCCAAAGGGGGACTCAGCACAGCCTAACAAAAGCATCATACGATGCTAGCATAATAAAAACAACCACAGTACAATCGAAATATTAAAAATTGAAACAACAATTAAAACAATTAATTAAGACACATCCATTAAAATCCAAATCATTGCCATAAGTTGTGTGATCTTCTTCCACTTGCTGCTCACTGGTCAAACGCTTGGTCCCATAACCAGATCTTGATTTTCCTTCTAAAAGATAAGAGGGAGGTGGCCAATCTGATATCTCTAGAGAGCGTGTTCCAAAGGCGGGGGTCACTGCTGAGAAGGCTCTGTCTCTTTCCCCATCAACCGTGTTTGCGATAGTGCGAGAGCAGGGCCTTTCCTAAAGATCTTAAACTTTGTGATGGTTCATGGCAGGAGATACATTCAGACAGGTAGTCTGAGCCAGAACCGTTTAATGAGATGCATTTCCTTCAGATTCTGAAGAACAGTCCCTAGGAGGTTGTGCTGGCTGAAGAAATGCAAAACACTACAAATTACTCCCCTTAGCAATGAGATCAGGAGAATAAGGGCGTTTAACTCTTCTAGCCCCTTGAAATGATAGACTACTGGGTCTCCAAGATAGCACACACCAAACTCCCATTTTCCCGTAAACAAGGGAAAGCCATATGCCTTTTCTTTCTGCCCAAAAGCAACTCAGAAGAAGCAAAGAAAAACAGGATCAGCAACAGCATATACTTTGTTGCCCTATCACCAAGTCAACACAATTGAAATTAGGCTTCCGAAGGGAGAAAATAATAAGAAGTTCCTTTGGAAAGTAATAATTACTTGGCACCATAAGTGCAAATCCCTCTTCTCGCCAATGATTGTTTCAAGGGTGAAATGAAACATCAGATAACTAATGGGAAGACAGGATTCAGGAATGCAGGATGATGACAGTGGCCTGACAAAGAAAAAATGAATGCAAATGGTTCCTTTACTTCTTAACCTCTTTCCCACAAACTGGGAATCAATTAGTCAATATTGGCTCCAGGTTCGACAATGACATATAGGCAATATTTGTATGTGCGGTCCTTTCTTTGTCACTGGACTGTAATACATTTATCTGGCTGTGATGGTAGCTCAACTAGCACTGAAAGCATGGGTCTTAGACAAATTTGGTCATTGCTACAATGCCCCAAAATGGTGGTGGATAAAGAACTACCGTATGTGGTTCTAGCTATCCGGCACTATTTGGAGTGATGCAATGGTTACAGGTTACAAGAACCTTGAGTACTGATCAATCATGCTAAGTGCTGACGTTGTCTCCACAGTTACTGGATAAAAGGAAGAGGTATCTCCACTCAGTTAAGAACATTGTTCTGCTAAGGATTTCACAGGGATGGGCCATTCCTGTTTATTTTTGGTTTTCCGATAAGTTGTTTTATGTAACAATATAACAATTTAGTTATCATGTAAAACAACAACAAAATATCAGAACTAGTAACAAACCTGGTACAAAGAAATTTCCAGCCACCACAGACAAACCATTCTAAACCTCTTCTTCTTTGAGAAATTCTGGCTCTTGGTAAAGTGTGGTAATCACTTTCATCATTTTCAAAACCTTCCTCTGACATCATCAATGGCATTTCATCCAAATGAGAGGATTCATCTTCTACCTGGTACCTGCTGACATTAAACAAATAAGAGCATTAAGAATAAACATATAAATATTCCATTCAATAGCAGGTTTGTGAGTGTGAATTAGCATGTTCCTCCTGTGTAGCATAGATTTTCAAAGTCTTCATATATTACTTAAAGGATTAAGAGTACCCCTTCTTCATCTCCTACAGGGAGGACTAAAATGAAAACAGGATTCTTGAATAATCCATGAGAAAGTTCAACCTGTTTGTGCAATTACACTGCTAGATGTAATCCAAGTAGCTGGCAATACTATTATTAGTTATAATGAAGGAATATAATTCATTTGAAGCCTTCTAACATATATATTTAAAGACGAATGTTGGGGTTTCCCAGGGTACATTCGATATTTTCAACTGCTAACTATTCAAACATACCATATACAGTACAATGATAACCAATAAGAGTCACATTTAGCAATTTGACTTCAAAATTTCGCCATTGAACTGGCAAGCAATTTATACCTCTTCAAAAGGCAATTTTTCTATTGTGTGAAAAAATTTACCCCAGTATTCAAAAACTTATGAATAATGGATTTTTCATAGGGGAAAAATCTCAATTTCTTTGTAATCTAGTGTTATGTACATTTAATTGTCAGTGAAGCTGTTTTCATAGGGGCAAATCTCAATTTCTTTGTAATCTAGTGTTATATACATGTAATTGTCAGTGAAGCATGGTTTTTTCACATGTGACAAACTAATTAAGTGCCAAAAACTTTTTATAAAATAAAGAAGCTTTGAGAAGCCTGAATAGATGAGAAATAATGCAAAATACAGCGCTTCTGATACTAAATAAGAAATAAGACAGGTAGTTGGGGGAATTGGCTTCCTAAACATTAACCACATTAATATTAAACGACTTCTGAACAAAAACAGAGAGAGAAGGGGAAAGAAATTATACTTCAAAATTAACTTCTGTATAAGGTCTGCTGTGAAAATTATACTGTGTTCTATTCAAACTTTGATGGCTTTTAAAAGGAATGAATAACCAAGTGACTGCATTAAGTTTAAGCTGTATTATATTGTCTGTTACATAAATCATACCTACATTTTGAAAGTTCTTTTCACATTATCAAAACACAAGCTCCGTGAGCAACAGACTTCTGCTGCAATCCACTACTGAAGAGCTATTTTTAAACTGAAACGCCATTTATTTTCTACCAAGAAGTTCAGAGCAACAGTGAAAAACAGAATCACTGCATACCACTGCTTGAGCAATCACGAAACCCAAATCTTTCATTTATTTGTACATTACAAGGAAGTCATCAAACTGATGTCCCACATCATCTCTGAATTTCTGGAACTTTACTTTTATGTTCAGTTTCCTTACTATAGTGATTGCCTTTCCCTAGTTAAGTCTTTCTCTCTGAAGCTATAGAATAAAATACTGTAGGGACAGGCCTATGAAGCAACTTCTAGGTGAATTAGAATTCAAGGAGTTATTCTCTCACAAAGAAACTTACTTTTTTTGCATAAAGCTATCAGCTGGTCATAATTTTGTTGCCTGAACTTCAGTAGATTTTTAAAAGTACAGATTCAGGAGTGGCGAAGAAATCCATAAGATATTTGAGTACAGTTAATTCTTTTCAACAGCAAAAGAAATGAAATTATAGGTAAAGGTAAAAGTTTTCCCCTGTTATTAAGTCCAGTTGTGTTCAACTCTGGGGGTTGGTGCTCATCTCTATTTCTAAGCTGAAGAGCTGGCATTGTCCATAGACACCTCCAAGGTCATGTGGCCAGTATGACTGCATGAAACACTGTTACCTTCCTGTCGGAGCAGTACCTATTGATCTACTCATTCGCATGTTTTCTACTCATTCGCACTGGTAGGTTGTCAGAAGCTGGGGCTAACAGCGGGAGCTCACTCCACTCTTGGATTCAAACCTGAGACCTTTCAGTAAGCAAGTTCAGCAGCTCAGTAGTTTAACCAACTGCACGATCGAGGGCTCTTTTAATGCTTTTAAACAGCAATAAAAGTGAAATTATACAGATGCCATTTTATTGGTTCAGTCTAGAAAAGACCAGAAAATAAAGGGTGCTCCCTTCAGGGGGCCAGAAAATTAATTAACTGGCACATTAAATTATGAATGCAAATATTTTGCAGCTATGTTTATTGCTTACGTCAATTCAGCTAAATCTCTGGCTAAGATTCCACCCTGACAACATTCCTAATTTAATTAGCACATACAAGGCAGAAATCTTGACATATTGCACCAAAAGCCTGTAACAGACAACACACAGTGCAGACCTCCACTATCTATATCTACCTTTCTATATTACAGGTGCTTGTCTCCTTTGCCCAGGAGCGACATTAGTCTGTATTACTCTGTGGATTTAACTTACAACAGTAAAAACTCTTATAACTTCCCTGCAGTTTTTTCAAAGGCAATGATAAAGGGCAGTTATATTACTATCAAATGAGCTGTTTTTCCCAAAGCCAATATATTCCCACAGCTCACATACTTCTCAAAATTCAATAAAATGTTTTACTTGAGTCTTCTACTTTTGTCAGAAGTGATGATGGAGTTCTGATAACAGTTCTCTACAGTTCTATGCAGCCCTAAAATACTTCTGAAGGGCTAAAAAAAACCACTGGGAAAAAAGTTGGTAACGTTAAAGGCTGCAGTATGAGAGAAAGAAAATCCTGATTTTGCTTGCACTGGAGGCCAAAATATACCAATGAATCTTGACCACATTATTATACAGTGTGTGTGTGTGTGTGTGTGTGTACACACGCACACACATACATAGAGAGATATTTATATAGTAATGTATTATAAGCAACGTGTTGTCAGTAACATAACCAAGGATGCCACGTTATACTTTTAAGATCAGAATATGCTGTTTTCATGAGTGTTAGTTGGGGGGGGGGGGGTTGTTTTTTTCAGCCCATGAATATATGGCAAGATGGACCACATGTACAGGAAATAGCAATTCATACTATCATGATGGAACTCTACCAGTGACTATTAAGTGAGTATCACTGAAGGCTTTAAACAATGTCAATTTTTATTATTATTCTAATTTTTTAGCAATAAAATTTGTAGCTACTATATTGTCATTAATATTAAAAACCAATGTCACTCCCCTTATTAGATCGTGACTTACTTAACAGGAATGATGTGCTGTAATCCTGTCTCATAGGACCGGCCAAATGGATTGACTGAAATAGTAAACTGATATATCTTGTTTTATTGCTTTTCTGGATAGCATTGGGGAAAACAAGACACTATCTCTAGCCTGATCTTAAAATAAAGATACCATGAGAATTGACTGATATATTAATACAAAGACATTGACAAAGCTTAACTATATGAAACTAGAGAATGCATACTATTTTTGTCTAAGGTTTAAGTACGTTGTTATCAGACAGAAGTACAAAAACATAAAGATGTTTTAGAGGTGCTGGGAGATAACAAAAAGGCCAAGCAGTAGATATGAGAATGAGTCACACATATAAGTCCTGAACTTGTATCAAAAAACCTTATTTGAGCATAGATTAGATAAACATGACTACAACAGGACTCTGAAGAACAATCCTTTTTAAAGCAAAAATGAGCTTTTGAAAGCAAAACTTTTCAAAGTTTTCTACTTAAGCTGGGATTCAGACAAACAGATAGGCTGATATGAAAAATAAATACAAGCAAACCTGATTTTCTGAGTTCCACTTCCCCACACTTTTAAAGAGTGATCACACCAAAACTATTTGTTTATCGAAAAAGATTTGTGAGAGTTGTGGGATTTATACTAAATGGTTAAGAAGACCTGGCATTGTGAACATTAGTTTAAAATCTCATAATATTCTGTATTTTGGTAAAGTTCAGCAAACTGTCCTGTTGCAACAATTTGTTTTTATTTGTTGTCAGGTCAACTTTGACCTATTAATGAAAGATCTGCATAAGTTCTCTTCATCAACAATCCTAACAATACAGAAAATTAATTAACTGGCACATTAAATTATGAATGCAAATATTTTGCAGCTATGTTTATGATAATAAAATGAATGAAACAAACAAAATACCATATTCTTACTTAAGTTTACATTAATTTAGTTTATTTTCATATCTCATACAATGAAACAAGTTTGATAAGCATCTTCCATTAAAAGTTAATAAATATAAACATAGACCACATCACACAATCTAACACCAAATTTAATAAGCAATGCAAGATAAAAATCAATAACTAAAGCTCAAAAGTGCACCAAAAATGTGGGAAATGTTCAGATTTGAAAAGCAGCAAACAATTTTCAAGCGGAAAACTCAAAAAATAAAGTCATCACCTCGTGCCATAATAATAATAATAATAATAATAATAATAATAATAATAATAATAATAGGCAACCACAATGGCATCCCTGAAAAACCATTTTTCATGGGACATGATCATGGCCATTCAGAGAAGCCACCACAACAGATTTAGTATTTAAAGATTTATGATTTATATTATTTACATAATTAAAAGGTTATGCAAAGAAGTGATCCTTCAAGTTGCCCATTCCCAAGTTATGTGAAGTTATGTGAACCTTTGATAGTCCATGAGGTCTTAAATAGGCCCAGAAACATAGCGCAAACAAGTGCTGGTAATAAAACCTGATGCATCATACCAACCAATAATAACATCACTGTTGTCTTTTGTTTCCAGATTTTCAAAGGAAGGCCACATGTGTCATATCCACGGGCGTTGTCTTTCAAGGCCCTCCACAAATACAAAAACTGCAGATGGTCAAGCCTCACATTATTAAATAATACTAATGTTAGTTTGTACACTCCAACATGTCTCAGTTCATATCACTGGGGTGTGATACAGGGTGTGATGATCACAGCTAGTGGAAATCACAGATTTTGATCCAGCAGACCAGAGAGCCTACTGTATATCAATCTAAGATTATTTGAAGAGGCATTTTCTCCTTTACAAACCTGTCTAGGTATTGAGATCTTTCAGGAAAGCACATCTTGAGAACTGCTTCAAGGCTCTGAAACTCCC